AGACAGAGACAGAGAGATAGAAAGCGAGAAATCATCCCCTAGGGGGATGGCCACACCACAACCCCTTCTCCTCCATTCTCCTCTCGGGATCTTGAGCACGCACACGCACACGTGCCTGGCCTGATCTTGGGCGTGCATGCACACGCGCCCAGCGTGAGTTTTAAGCCACCGGGTCCGGGACGCAAACCGCGGTCGACTACATGGAAGTCCAGCGACATAGCCATTATGCTAACTGCTGGTCCCTTTAATGCATTATTTTATGTAACTTTATTTATTTATTTTAATTTGACCATAGAGAGAGGGGGAAGGAGGGAAAGTGAGAAAGCAAGCCGCCAGGTCTGGAACTGAAACCGCAGCCGCCATGTGGAAGTCCAGTGCCGTGAACCACCACACTCTCTGTCTCTCTCTGATCAAACTGGAAAATAACAATAGTGGTGATAAGTCAAGTTAAATAAAAAAATTCTTTAAAAAAATAAAAATAAATAAATACAAAGAAAAAGGAGGGAGCAGCCACGTAGCCTAGTGGTTAAGGGAGCTGGATCCCACATGGCTGACCACAGTTCAAAGCCCTGGCAGCGTGAAGAACATGCCAGGCATGTGTGCATGCATGCTCAGAATCCCGGCGAGATGGAGACATGGAAGACTAGGTACTGTGGCCTGACCACACCCCACTGGGGGGTACCTTCTCCTCTCTCGCTCGCTCTCTGTCTTCCTGTCTCTCTCTGGTGAGCTCACACACCCGCTGACAATTTAAAAAGAGAGAGAGCGAGAGAGAGAGAAGGGCTGGCAGGTGGCATGGCGGTTAGGTGCTGGACCCCCACGTGGCCGACCACGGTTCAAGTCCTGGACCTGGCGGCTTGCTTTCATCACTTTCTCTTTTTCTATCTCTCTCTCTCTGGTCAAACTAAAACAAATCAATAAAATTAAGTAAAATAATTATTAAACAAATAAATAAGAGAGAGAAAGAGAGAAAAACAAAGCAGCTGGGACTAGTCCAGAAAAGCCCCCGAAGCACATTCCCTAACCCTCTGACCACTTTCTCTTCATGCTATGACATATCCATGAAGACTGCTCTCGGGACCCACGGAGGGCAAAACGGTTACACCACTGGGCTCCCACGTGGTCAACCGCAGTTCAAGGCCCGGATCCAGCAGCTTGAGATTCATGCTGGGTGCATGTGCACGCGTGCCCAAAATCCCGGAAGGAGAAGGGATTGCGGCGTGGCCATCTACCCCAAGGGGGGTGATTTCTCAGTTTCTGTCTCTCTCTTTCTCTGTTGAGCGCACACACCCTATAGCAAAAAATCTCTCTTAAAAAATAAATAAAAAAGACTGCCGACATTTTCAAAAGACCTTTTATTATTTGATTCACGAGAAAGAACACTTGCAAGTGTGAGCGCGTGTAAGAGAGACGAGCCCCTGACAGGGTCCGATCATGTCCCTCAGCCCTCCAGCTTGTCAGGATCTTGGGCACACACATCCAGCGTGTCGTCAGGTCAACTGGGCATCCCCACGCAGGTCGGCCGTGTGGCCGCGAGCACAGACCAGCACGCTACGGACCGCGCCACCAAGCTGGACCAAGACAGCGCTACCATGAGCCAGCTGGGCGTCCACCCCTGCGTGTCTACGGCCGATCGAAAACCTCGAACGATGGCTCCACCACGTCTCTTAACTATGGAGACCCGGGACAACGGCAGCAGTTAGAGGTCTTGGTTAAGGGACATGTGTCAGGTGCTGCAAAGCAGGAGGGCTGAGAAAGGAAAAGAAACAACCCCAGGCTGTAACTGTCACTTCCTCTCACTCCACTGCCCCTTCCAGGGGACGGGGAGTCATCCCTGGGAGCTGCCCTGATGCGTCATTGCACTGGAGTGGAAGATGAAGATGCACGCTTCTCATGCCTTGGACAGAAAACCTGGTCCCCACCAGTGTGCCGGTGTGGACAGCAGCTCGTGAAGGGAAGCCTCCAGACCAGCAGTT